AAAAAAAAATAAAAACTTAACATTTTTAAGCCAGGTATGGTGGTACTCCTGTAAGCTCAACGTCCAGAAGGCTGAGGCAAGGGATTGCAAGTTTAAGGGTGAGGTAAATATGAATTCTAGGCCTGGGCTACATAGAAAACCCTTTAAAACAAATAAATAAGTAAGAAATCCAGGCATGGTGGCACAGGCTATAATTCTAGCATCTGGAGTGTAATCCTGGACATGGTGGAGCACATCTGTAATCTCAGCACTCTGAGGCTGAGGCAGGAGGATTGCTGCAAGTTTAAGGCCAGCCTGGGCCACACAGCAAGCCACTATCTCAACACACAACAACAACAATAATAACGGCAATAATGACATGTGCAGTTTTTCTTTTTTTCAAGACAGTAACTAGGAAACGGGTGTTGGCTACTTTAGTGGGGCAAGCTAACCCATCCTCCTTGCTTTATACAATGTACTGAGTAGAGAAGGGAGCCCAGCACGTAGGCCTCCAGTCAGCGGCCTGCCTGAGCCACATTGCGAGTTCCAGGCAATTCTGGGCTAGAGATATCTTCTTTAATGATTTGCTTTCTGACTTCAAATCTTTCATTTTTAGTTGTTTAGAATGTTTGAGAGTTCAACTCACAAAGTGAGGAGTGAGCACCTGCCCCATTGTGCTCCTCCCTCCCGTTTTCAGCTCCCGAGTGCTCCAGACTTGGGCACGCCCTTCCCACCCTGGCACACGCAACCTTGGATTCTGAGCTCTTCAAATGGCAAAGACTCAGCTTCTAACCAAACTTACTTCTCCCCTAATCTCCCTGGCGAATCGCTGGGTTCCATTATCAACTTCTTTAGGATTCTCCAGCGTGCTAACTCTGGCTCCTATGTTACACTCACTTTCCTCCGGCCCTGGAGTATTTTCATCATAGATGCTCTTTGACTTAATGGGATGGTTAGACTTAACTGCCAACTTGATAGACTTCAGGATCACTTAGAAGATGGGCCTTTGGGGGTCATCTCGATTACATTGAGGTGAGAAGACCCATCCACTCTGGCTGGCAGCATTCCTTGGTTGGTATCCTGAGCTGTGTAACTGGATAAATGGAGCTGGACAGCAGCTTTCGTTAGTCACTCTCTGTCTCTTTTTGTGGACATGGCGTGACCGTTGCCCACAGTTCCTGCCACTTTGGCTCTGGCACCATGGACTGTATGTATTCTTGAACTGTGAGCTAAAATAAATGCTTCCACCCTTAAGTTGCTTTTATAAGGGTTTTTTTTTTTTTAACCATAGAAACATAAAAAGTAAGGCATCCACCATGAATTACATCCCAACAAATCCAGTGTGTGTGTGTGTGTGTGTGTGTGTGTGTGTGTGTGTATGTACAAATGCATATGTACACAATGAACACAGAGCCTAGTTTCCCTTAAATGTCCCCAGAGCACTCACCTTACCTACAGGTGGGTGAAGTCTCCCAACACAAGGCCACTTTATTACAAAATGTACAAAATGTTGAGTGTCTCTTGTAATTTAACACATGCAGCTGAGTGACCCCAGAACACCATGTATTCTCCCTCATGATTCAATTATTGGCTGGACCTGTAGCTCACTATCACCCCCCAGCATTTGTGACTGAGTTCTTGGATGCAAGCTTTTAGTCAGGAAAAGAATAAAATCCAAAGCGTGGTTTCTGTCTGCTGCCTGTGTATGAGCTACCCAACATCGCAAAGTTGAGGAAGGCCAAGTTGAACCGTTGTTAACTTGGGGGCTTTTTGTATTTCCACTATTACAGAAGGCAAAACTAAAGCTCTCAGAAGTTGGGTAGCCTGCCCAAGATCATAAAGTCTACTAAGTAAGTGGTAGAGGGCATAAGACCAGAAACTCCACCTCCAGGGGCACGTTGCCTCTCTGACTAGGGAAACACTAGGAAGCTGGAGAGAAGGGCACCCTGTGGCCAGACACCTCCTGGTGGGCCTTCTGGTAACTAGATGAAGGTGGAGGCAAAGTGACTCGCTTGCCCGGAGAGCACAGGTCTTTGGTTTGAAAGCTGTGGCAGCAGCGGGGACCTTACACTCATGCTGGATGCCAGAAAACTGCCGGGCACAGGCTCAGTCGCAGTCAGCAGTTACAGAGCATCTGGCCTCTCTCTGGGTGAGCCTGGCTGAGGCTCAGTCTTTCATATCCAGCCTTCCTTGAGGAAGGGTAGATTGTTCCTTGCCGAGTCCATGCCTGGCCCAGACATGTTCTGCAGTGCAGGTGGTTCTTGGTGGGAAGACCTCTGTGCACGTGAGTGCACGTGAGTGCGTGCGCATGAGTGTGTGCGTGCACATGAGTGTGTGCGTGCACATGAGTGTGTGCGTGCACACTCATGCAAGCATGCACACAGTCACGCATGCACCCACTAGTGCTGGAAGCTGAGCCTTCCAGGAAAGCAGGTAAGAATGTGAGTAAAGAACTTAAGAACTCCAGGACAGCGCAGGAGACGTCGCAGACGGATGCTGGGATGTGCACAAGTCTAAGGATGCCGTTTACTCAGGCTCACTGGGTCAGTTAATGCACCTGGGGTAGGCACTAGTGGAGAAGATGAACCATCCTTGCTCAGCTCAGCACTGTGGATTCAGACTCTGTGTGGGATTCTAAAGTGAGTGCAGGACCTGGCATCAGCCGAGGGCTCAGGCAATGACAGGGCGCAGCCTGATGTGGACCCTTCTCCGTCTGTGCTTCTGTTTTCATATCTGTGTAGCAGGCGTAAAAATATCTACTTGGGGGCTGGAGAGATAGCTCAGCAGTTCAGGGCACTAGTTGCTCTTCCAGAGGTCCTGGGTTCAATCCCCAGCACCCACATGGTAGCTCTCAATCATCTATAGTGGAATCTGATGCTCTCTTCTGGCATAAAGTCATACATACAGATAGAGCACTTACAAACATAAAATAAATAAATAATCTTTTAAAATATATCTACTTGGAACTTGGGATGGTTGCATATGATAATGAAACCAAATCAAACAAACAAACAAACAAAAAAAAATGTTGTCTGAGTTACACACTGTTTCTCAGGTGTCGATACTTATTGCTCACATACCAGATCAAGGAGTGGGGAACAGCTAGCCATGAACAGGGAATGGCTTGATTTTATTGATTGATTGGTTGCTGCCACTTGAACCTAGGACCTCATTCATGCAAGCTAGTCAAGCGTTCTACCATTGTTCTAACAAGAACAGCTTTAGAGGGCTGGATGCCACATCTCAGTGGGTTCCAATGTCACCTTATTTACCTTCCTTTCCTCTGCAGTTTGGGAACATTGAAGTGCCAGTGATGCCTGGGCCAAGCCCCCCATCTACTGACATTACTGAAGCCCATGTCTTTGCCACCACCCTGCTTTGTTACTTCTAAGCCTTTTGGGACTTGGGAATATTGTCACCAACCCTTCTGAGCCCATGTCTCTGCCACAAACCCGCTCTGTCATTCCTGAGCCTTTTGGGACTTGGGGATGTGACCACCCCTTCAGGACTTCAAGCCCAGAAGCCATAGTAAGGGAGAGAGTTCAGTAGACCGATTTCACTACCCACAATCTCATTAGAATCTTCCAGAATAAACAGCCAAGAAAAAAAAATAAAATGGCTAATCTGGGACCTTCAGACACCTCAAACATTAGATCAATTACCAAGAAAGTTTAGGAAGGTTTATATTTTTCTTTTTCATTCAGTTCTGGACATATAGCAAACAATTTCTCCCAGGAGTTTAAACTTATGGCCCCTCCCAAACCACCTGGTGGAATTGAAACGGGACTTAACTTGGGTGCTTATTATGTGTGGCTTGGTCGTTAGGATGTGTTCAAACTTTTGAAGTAGCTGTTTAGGCTGCACGTAGAAAATGCTGCTGCATTTTTCTGTAACCCTCAAAAAACCCCAGGTTGGTCCTAATCAATGTCCAACTTTATCATCTCCACTTTCTCGAGCCAGTGGCTTGTCCCCACAGAACACTCACCTTAGGCACCCTGGGATATTAGTCTGCTCCTTCCTGGGGAGAGAGGGCAGAGAGAGGAGGCCTGTTTTCTGCAGGTGAGAAAACTCTCTGCCATTTTAGGAGTCTGCACTCAGCAGAGCTGTGTTCCAACAGGTCTGGATCCTGTTCGCCCTAGAGGTTGCCCTGCCCTGAGGATTTGCACAGGCTGTGACATCCCCCACAGGGTGACATTTTTGCAGGCCTCTTTCTAGGGAGGCCACCTTGGTACTTAACACACTAGTGCTGGGGTCAGACCAAATGTGTCTGTATACCAGGCCTCTTCTCTGGCTACAGTTTGGCTTTAGCATGCTCATTTGGCAAGTATGGTTTAGTGCCTGGCTTACTAAATAGTGCTGCCATAATTAAGAGATCAGAAGCCCTATGAAGTGGGCATGGGAAGCTGGTGAATTCTAGCTGGTTGGTTTCGTTACAATGGACTTGTTTGGGAAGCCAGTTGAGGCTGATAGCAGGTTTCCGGTTTATCAGAGCAAATAATCTACTCTAGTAATTACAGGCCCATGTTTGTTATGTGTAGGAAAAATGAGGGTGGATTCTCCCTGCTGAGACTTCACAGAGGCCTGGGGAGCTCCGGAATGAAGCTGGGGACCCTGGAGCCCTAATTCTCAGACATGGCCCTCCCAATCTTGATTGATGCTTGGGTTAGTTTGAATTACACAAGTATTACAATTGCACGAGTGTTCACAATCCTCACTGCTTTCTCTGGTGAGCCTGCAGAGAGCTGGCTGCCCACAAGACTGAGCTGGCCCTGGTGTTTCCCACTTCCTCTCAGCTGTGAGAGGGTTCCCCTTCCTTCACACTGAGTCACTGCCTCCTCTTGGGGACCTGTTTTGGACCTCATAGAACTTCCATCTTAGCATTGTGACTGGCTGGGGGACATCCCCAGGGGACCAGAAGTCCAGGGAGCTTCTGGAAATGGGAGTCAGCACACGGTTCAAGAACAGAAGCCACAGAACTTGCAGTTGACACGACACAGCTTGCCCCAGACCCCACTGCTTACCCAAGGCTCCTTGGCAGATGTCTGTGCGGGTGGCTCCTCCAACAATGAATTGGGGGTCAGAGCAGATCTCCTGGAAAACGAACCCACAGAAAGCATGGTCAGCACAGCAGGCAGGAGCCGCAGTTCCCTGTGGGTCCTCCAGCCCCTCCTCCTCACGCTGCTCAGCTCTGAGGAGAGTTCCATAGTCAGACCCCTGAGCTAGCCATCTGACCCTGCTCCATTGGCCCTAATGGGGAGGGGGGTCCCTTCCAGGAAGTCATCAGTCTCCACTTACTCCAAATTACATGCAGTTGGCTCCATCATGCTGTTTGCCAAGGGCAGTGAGTGCATCCAGCTTCCTCTGCCAGGCTTTGAGACCCTCCATGCTAAGTGCCCCCTGCCCACCATTCTGGCACCTTCTCTTCTGGGCCTGCATGCAAATGGTTGGGCTTGCATGGCATTCCTCCTTTGCCTACACTTTCCAAAACGTTCCTATTTCAAGTCTCCTCTCCCTCTCCTACAGGAGGAAGTCTTTCCTCCTCTTTCCTTTCCCTGAGTCTTTGGGAACCTAGACCTGTGCGGGCGCTCCTCCATCTTTCTAATACACACGCATCTTGGGGACAGGGGACTGGATCCAGCCCTTCAGAGTTCTCCCAGAACTTGCAGAATTCATGCACCCTGCACCTGCTGTGCAGACACTGCGCGGAGCCTTATCTCTTGTAGCCTTTTGAGGAACTCAGGGTGGTGTCAGCGCCTCTTACACGTGCGTGCCTGTGGAGCAGCTCAGGAAGTAAAGTGATTGTTCAAAGCTTCATGGCTCCCCTGCGGTAAAGACCCCTGGAATCTGAACCCACTGACCTCAAGTGCAAACTCTCAGCTCCTGCTGTTTACTGCTAACACCCCTACCCCAGCCTCTGCGGGGAAGGGGGTTGTTCCCAACAGCCTGATGGAAGCCAGTGGGGAAGGGTTCAGCCCTCCAGCAGTCCCCCGAAGAGCTCCAGCCAAAAGCCACAAAGGAAGTCAGGGCCCAAATCTGAGCTGCTTTGGATGTTGGTTTGTAGGAGTGCTACATTTGCAGAGAGTGGCCTTGTCCCTTGGCACACTTCTGTCTACAGGGGTCTTCCCTGGGTGAGAGCTGGTGCTTGAGCCATCCTGGCAGCCTCGGCACCACACCAGCTCACAGAGCATGCTCGCTTCCTGCTTCCCCATCAGTCTGCCTGGAGGATGAAGGGATAGCGAGAAAGCACTTCTGCCCAAGCAGGGAAGCCAACTTTTCCTAAGGGATGCCAGGCAAGCACTTATCCTGGAGGTGGTGTAGACTGAGCTCAGTCCCTGGAGCCCCTTAATCACACTGATCATCCACGCGCTCACCTCGGGGGCGGGGCGGGGGGGCTGCCATTACACTTCAGAAACTGCCTCAGAGTCTCCAGAGAAGCCAAAGTTCAAACTTCGCAGCCCAGAGACACTTGAGAAAACTGAGCCCTGCTCACAGCCTGCGGAGCCTGGAATTAAACACTGACACAGCCTTGTAGCGGTAGAAGAAAGGAGGGGAAGGCTTGGGCCTTGGATTCTCACTAGCTGTGAGAATCTTGGTGCTGCCATTTAATGCATAGGTGCTAGGATGCTGGTGGGTACTGGGCACCCTGCAGCTTGATCTGCATCTGTTAGATGGGTTTGAAGACAAATGTACCACTCACAGAGACTGTCCTCAGGGTCAGATGAGATGAACATTAATGGCCTTGCCAAGAACTCTATAAAGGACAGCTGGAAGGGCCTGATGTGCCAGCCTTGGGTGATGCCATGGCAGTTCTGGCTGTGGCCTGGCACTGTCCCCTGCCCTCAGTGTGGTTGTGGTCATGTTCTCTCACCCCTCTTGCATTGAAGCCCTTTCTTGCCAGTGCTGTGACTCCCTCTAAGGAAGAGTTAGCAAAACACCCCCCCTTCCAAGATGGCTAACCAGCTCTCTTGCCCTGCCCTGCTTTCTCTTCCTCATGGGTTGTTTCATTCTTTCTCTTGAAGTCATCTTTAATCCCTTCCTCTCGTGACTCAACCTCTAACAAACTCAAGTTGCCCATGGCTGAACAATCTCTTAAATCAATCAAGCCATGGGTGTTTGCATTCTCTCTCTCTCTCTCTCTCTCTCTCTCTCTCTCTCTCTCTCTCCTCTTCCTGTCATCTACCCATCCTTCTAAATGATTGAAACTCACACTTCACTTCCACTCCTCTTACTCTAGGGTCTGCAGCCTGCCTGGTTCTAACCCACACCATCCACTGGCATTGCTCTTTTCCAATCTCCAATGACTGGCTAATGAATCCAGTGGGTACATTTTTTTTAAGTCCCATTGCCTGTCCCCACCAGGGTCTGACAGTCAGGTTGGGACAGAGAGCAGCTATCCCAGCCCTGGCTCCACTCCTGTTTTGTTCTGAGCAGGTTTGACATTCCCAAGCTTCAGTTTCCCCAACTGTAGAATGATCATGTGGTACATGGCTGGCCTGCCCTAGGCAGTGTCCCTGAGGCGGCTCTAGATCTCTATTTCCTACCCGGAAGGCCACAGGCACTATCACCTGTCCTCTTGTCTTCTCTTCAGAGACAGAAACTAAGCATACTGTCCTGGAATATAATAGACACTCAATAAGTGCTCCCTGACTGAATGGAAGGTTGAAGGAAAGGTTGTGTGTGTGGAGGGTTTTCTTTTTTTTTTTTTAAATGACAACTTGTCTCAGCCTGGAGTCATGCAGAAAAGAGTCGGTTCAAAGAATTATCCAGATCTGGTTGGCCTGTGGTTCCCTTTATGAGGGATTATCTTGATTGCTAATTGGTGTAGGAAGACCTAGCCCATTGTGGGTGGTGCCATTCTCTAGGCAGGGGAGCCTATGCAGGACAGACGAAAGGTAGATACAAGCAAGCAACACGTGGCATTTGATCGTCTCTGCTCTAGACTGTGGAAGTCATGTGACTAGCTGCTGGAGTTCCTGCTCTGACTTTCCAACAATGATGTGCTGGAACCTGGAATTGTAAGCCGAATGAACCCTTTCATCCCTTCTGTTGCTTTTGATCAGGGAGTTTTCTCATAGCCACAGAAATGAAACTAGGGTAGAGAGTAAGTAGTAAAACCATGTTCAAATGTAAGGCATATGCTCTCCTGCTTGTGAATCACATCACCAGCCAGGATGTCATTCAAGCTCACAATGATTGTTCATTCATTCATTTTCCAAATAGTCAGTGACTTTGTTTTTGTTTGTTTGTTTTGTTGTGATTGTTCATGGGCATCTCGATGCCTGGCCTAGAATAAGCACTTTATAAATACTGATGAGTGGATGCATGAGTGACTATCGAGAAAGGACAGTCCTTTGGTGAGACTCTGAGAGCACAAGGACAAAGAACACACACCAGCTCAGCAGAACAAGAAAACATATGTTGATTAAATGGTGAGAATGCCGGGGCAGAAATTAGCACAGGGCAGAGAACAACAGGATGGGAAAGTCTGCTCAGAATGGCCAGGAAAGACTCTTTGGGGAGGAGGCTTGTGACAAAGTCCCAAAGAATGTAAATGGGCTACACTTTGGGTTGGAGGAGAGCATGCCTGGCAGGTGAGAAGGGCAAGAGAAAACCGGGTGTCTCTGGGAAATGGAAGCAGCTGTGGCAGCTGCCCCGAGTGTGCTGGACAAGGGAGGAAACAGAGGCCTTGCTTGTATCGGTCTTATCATATTCATTTAATCTGAGACAGTCTTACTTTGTAGTTCAGATTCGCCTTGAATTTACTAAGCAGCCAAAGCCGTGGAGTGTCCCGAGGGCTGGGACCAAGGTTGTACTGCCACGCCCAGCTGAAGTGAGGAACTGTGACTCATCCAATGCACCCAGGTGCACAGGATCCTGCTCTACAGAGACTTTTCTGGTTTACTTTTTTATTTATTTTTTAACTTGAGCCAAGTTCTCATGTGGTCCAGGCTGGCCTCGAACACTGTATAGCCAAGGCTGGCTTTGACCTTTTGTTTATTATTGTTGTTGTTATTATTATTAACCCATTTATTTTGTGTGTGTGTGTGTGTGTGTGTGTGTGTGTGTGTGTGCCTGCAAGAATTCATATGTGTGCTACAGTGTGCATATGGAGGTCAGTTTTGGGGAGTTGGTTCTCTCTTTCCACATGGGTTCTGGGATAGACTGAAGGTTGTTAAGCTTAGCAGCCAATGCTCTTAATCACTGAGCCATCTCAGTGGTCCCCAGCTTTGAACTTCTGATCCTCCTGTCTCCACCTCCTAAGTGCTGGGATTATAGGCATACATTACCATGCACCTGATTTTATGTGGTGCTTGGGGTAGAACCCAGGGCTGTTGAGTACCTAGCTGGCCTAGGGTACTTTCTAGACCTGGAGCTGGATTCAGGGTAGCAAAAATAGCCTGTGAAGATCAAGAATATGGATGTAGGGCATGAATGCCCAATGTCCTAAACAGGGCTCTAGATTTCCTCTAGGCTCCCTGGGAAAGTCAAGTGAGGGTCCCATGGGATGAGGGCAGCAGCGTTCCCACTGGAGACTGAAACCACAAGGGCTGGGAGGGCTTAAGGACAGAGACCCTGAGGGTTGGCACAAGAGCGTTTGGGAGTGGGACAGAGGTTCCCAGTGGGGGCTCTAGGCCAACAAAATGAGTATCAAGATCTTTGGATGGAGCCTTTTAGTTCTTTGTTAAGTTGTCCGGGGAAATATGAGGGGTGGGTCCCGCTAGTTACACTTTGAGAAATAAACAAGATGCAAGCTGGATAAACCCAACCATCACAGATGCTTGTAGCCACCTATGTAAGCCAGCGCCAGGCTGTGCCCACCCTTGCCTCCCCGACGCAGTCCAGAGTCTTCTACCCTGCTCGGACACCCCACCCCTGCCACCGCAGCACACCCAGGTCCCCTGCTGTAGTGGTTAAGATCACTAGAGTCCAATAAAAGTTTCATCCCAGCGGCCCTGTGTCCCTGAGGCTTTGTGAAACCAAAGGCGGCCTCCAGGGCGTGCCCGTTAGTAGAATTTGGGGTCCTGTCCTGCGAAACACTCTGGGCCAGCTAAGGGCAGGTCCACTGGGTGGGCCGCAGCCTGCATCAGGAGTCTCCTCAGCAGCAATCGCGGAGCACAACCGAGCCAGCATTACCGAGCCAGCACCGCCGAGCCCGGGAGCCCGGGGTCTTGGCTAGCAGTCTTCCACTGCAGCCCCTCCCGGCCCCGCCCGGTCCCCGAGCTTCCTACCGTGGGCCGCTTCCATTCGATGCCCCGAGTTTTGCTGGAGTAGGGCCCCAACTCCTTGAAGCCCAGAGAGGACGGCAGGGCGGGGAAGGAAGGATCCTGGAAGAGCGCCCCGGCCTCCAGGCACTCGCTTTGCAGCGTCTCGTAGTCCTGGTTGAGGTACTTGACGGCTCTCTCGTGCGACCCCAGGCCCTCGGCCGCCTCGCGGTCCTTGGCCAGTTTGATTGCGATGCCCTCCATGGTACCAATCGGGCTGGCTCACGGC